CGCCACCACCGCCCCCAAAAATCCATCAGGTTCAGCCAAATATAAGCCAGGCCACTGCCACCTCTTCATTGCCACCACCTCCTCCTCCTGTGCCTGCCCCACCACCACCCCAGGCACCGCCAAAGCCTGTCATGGCAGCTCTTCCCCCACAGCCTAGTGGGAAGGCAGCATCACCAGGGGTCACACATGCCACCCCCCCTGTCCCAGCTCCCTTGCCCCTTGCAATAAAGAAACAACCAAGTGTCACCTCTTCCCAGGTGCCTCCACTTCCCCCAGCTCCTCCTGGCCCCACTCCCCCCCCAACATTCCCAAAGCAGCAGAGTTTCTCTGTGAAGCCTCCTCCATCCCCTCAGTCCCCAGTGCCATCAGTGGTGAAGCAGATAGTTAGCCAGTTCCCACCTCCTCCCACCCCACCTGCCACTGAGCCCCAGCCACTGAAACCCCTTCCACTGAGCGTGGCTCCACAGTCACCTCCCGCAGTAAAGGCAAAGCCCAAATGGCAGCCCGCTTCCGCTCCCTCACCAGATTTTCCCCCTCCTCCACCAGAGAGCAGCTTAGTGTTTCCTCCTCCACCTCCTTCCCCAGCTTCCTCTGCAGGTTCTCCCCCCCCTGACAAATCAGGGTCTCCAGTCAAAAAGACCAGCAAGACATCAAGCCCTGGAGGGAAGAAACCACCTCCAACACCTCAGCGAAACTCCAGCATCAAGTCCACCAGCTCCACTGAGTACCATGAGTCCAAGAGACCTTCAGTGGACCGCCTTGTCAGCAAATTTGCACACGCACCAGAGCCGTCAGGGTCTCCTTCCAAGGAGTCATCACCTCCTCCAGCCCCTCCAAAGCCAGGAAAGCTCAACCTTTCTGGGGTGAGCCTGCCCATTGTCCTTCCGCAAGGAGGGGTCCCGGCCAAGGCTCCTGCTCCAGGTGTGTCGGGGACGGAACCTGTAGTTGAATTCCCTTCACCACCATCCGATTCAGACTTTCCACCACCACCACCTGAAATAGATCTTCCTCTCCCACCAGTTGAGATCCCCTCTGTGTTTTCAGGCAGCACCTCCCCAAAAGTCGCTGTTGTCAATCCCCAGCCTCAGGCATGGTCAAAACCATCTGTGAAAAAAGCCCCACCACCCACACGTCCCAAGCGGAATGACAGCACTCGACTGACGCAGGCGGAGGTTGCAGAGCCACCAGGGTCAGCTGCCCCTCAAGTGCCCACTTCACCCAAGTCCAGCCTTAGCGTTCAGCCGGGATTCCTGGCAGACCTCAACCGGACGCTGCAGCGGAAATCCATCACCCGGCATGGCTCCCTCTCCTCTGCGCGGATGTCCAGAACGGAGCCCACAGCCACCATGGATGACATGGCCCTGCCTCCACCTCCACCAGAGCTGTTGGCTGACCAGCAGAAGACGAGCAGCTTCGGGGGCAGTCACATATCGGGCTATGCAACGTTACGGAGGGGGCCTCCCCCCGCACCTCCCAAAAGGGATCAGAACACCAAGCTGTCACGGGACTGGTAGTCGGTCCCCAGGGGCCAGTGCTCTGCGTGACTTCTGGGCTGCTCCATGACCGGCCAACCTGTGGTCTTGCGCAGTTGGAGAGAATGTGGGGACGTAGATGATAGCCCCATCGAAAGAGGTGATCTCAAACTGTAGCTAAGGCTAAATGTAAAGACATTCCCCTCGTGGCTAGGCCAAAAAAGTTAGGGGCTTGGGGGTGTTGATATTTTATTGGGAAAAGTGGGTAGAGGGGTGTTGACTTATCCTTTCAATTTCTTTACCCTTCATATGGATTGGACCAAAACCCCATTTTCTTACTTTTTCTGCATTTAGGGGAGGGGGGGGAGATAATTTTTTGTAGTGTCTGTCCACGTGAGACATGTTTGTGCATGTATTATAAGTATAGGTATATAATATATTGTGATACATTTTGTCGCAATTATAGAAGATAACCAGAATGTTTTTGTAGAACCGTATTTATTGTTTCAGTCACTATATTATCTGGAACCGGACTCTAACTAGTCAAATCTTACCGCAAAGATGAAGATGTAGGGGGCACTTTAAAGAAAGGAAGAAAAAAAAAAACACAACAAAAGAAAAACCCACAAACCTCATGGCAGTTTGTGGTGGGTAAATCATGCAGAGCTGAGGTGTTCTGCTCCTAACTGTACATTGTCCATTGATTGAAAAGTACAGATGCAACATACCAAAACATTCTGGTCATAATACTACTGAAAATGAGTATGTTCTGAGGAAGAAAATAGATTTTATATATAGTGGGCTGGAGTGAAATATATTTATACTATAAAGAGCCTCCCCCTCCCTTCCAAACAGTGTAAAAATATACAGTGCTACAAATTATTTCGAAATTATTTGTCCATGCAGTAAGTAGGATAAATATGTTATTCCAATCCATTATGCATTCTAACTTCATAGTAAGTTATTTGTTTCGATCATTTGTTTCCGTGGCTCAAGATGAACATATTTGTGTTAACCCCTTCTGAAAGCTGCCAGGACTCCTGCAATCAATGCGACCTACAAGGCTGACCCACGCTGATACATCACTTGTATGTGTAATTCTTTCCCTGAATGAGCAGGTAGGTTTCTGTAGAGAGCATTATATTCTCACACAAGCATACACAGCGTACAGTCTCACCTTGTCTGTGCCTGATAAGGTGTATTATCTTTACAAAAAGCAGCGTCTGGAAACATTTGAAGAAAGTACTGTTTATAATTCATGAGAAACTGTCAGGAAAACTTTCCCTTCTAGAAAGAGAGAAGGGAGTGGTAATTCCAGGCCAGGCACAGTGGGAATTCTCTTTTCTTTGACCCACCAGAGACTGCGACCAATGCATAAACCTGGTAATTACAAAGTTGCACTTCTAGCAGTCAAGGGAGATGACTGGAAGAAAACCCCAGCCTTAAGAGGCAGTAACATTTGCTAATAATTTAATTTAAGGGCCCATGTGAGTAGGAAATAGACTATTGTATTTGCATTGGGTTTTTTTGTTTGTCACCAATTCCCAGTCAATCACCAGATCAGGTACTAGGGTCCTTTTTCTTGTACGTCAGTAGCTTGATTGTACAGTCTTACCCACATATTGGGACATCGTGATAAGGTAGTGTAGTCAGCGTAAGTGGTCTTCTGTATCATGCATGTTCATTACAGGGTAGTGGTACACAACCCTTGTAAAGTAACTAAAATACTTGGACTGTACCTACCCCATCTTCGGTTGTTACAACTTCCCTCATCACCGTGGGGATACTGTCGTGGCTCAGATGGCAAGTGATTTTACTGTTTCTTTACTTTTTCTCCAAAAGCAAAGTTTAAATGCTTTCCTTCCCCCAAAGAGTGAAACAAAAAGCAAGTGGCTTGACCTGACAGTATCCTCAAGCACATAAAAAAGATGGAAACTAATCTCTCATTACAGTAATTCAGGCTGATAGATTTAAGAACTATTGTGACAGTGTCCCCCAGTCCTTTTTTTTTTATAAAGTGTTTTTAAAAAAATCCAAATAATAAAATAAATGTCTTTGTGAATAATTTATGAATAGGAAAAAAGTTTTGCTAATTAGAGGGGAAAAAATGACACATCTATAACTATATAGTTTTAAATAAGTGCATCATGAAAAGAGAGAAATTAATGGTGCTGTCTCTGCTGACCTGTTTCATATGATTTTTTTAAAATCTGTTTCAGCACCTCTGGAAATTGTTTTAATATTTCAGACTAGTTTTTTTGAGCAATAAGAGTATATACCATTGTGTGCATTTTTAAAGCACTGCTATGGAAAGGCACTTTTTTGTATCTTTCAAATTGTTCACAAAGTTTTGTTTCTACTACTTTTGTGCTTAGAAAGTGTCCTTAAAAGCATTTGCATTGTTGATTTTAAGCATGCTCAGTGTAGCTGGCAAATAACTTCACAGGAAGCTTGTTAAGCTATACTGCAATTCATGGGTGCTGTAATTTTCAACATTGGTCCTCCTGCTGCTTTGTACTGTATGCAGCTCCTGGGGCTCATACCCACCAGTGGGGCACAAGGTGCGCAGATACAGTGGTAACTCCCCAGCGGTTATTGATGACAGGTGAGTGGATGTGTTTTCCTACTCCCTGGCAAGAAGCGTCTGAGCTGATGCAGCGTGTGCTCCCAGGTGAGAGCAGTCAGGGATTTCGGCTCGCCCCATCTGTTTTTCTTTTCCCCCCAAGACAGCTCCACTGGTGTGTGTCAGTTCCAGCCCTTTTTCTTTTGTTCCATTCAGTGCGGGTACCTCTGGGCTTTGGACTCAGCAGAAGCAATGTTGTGAGTGCAATTTCTTCAGAGGCGTTTGAGCTTTGTTCTCATTTTCCTGTGCCCAAGTTCATTTACCCAGTATCTCTCCCTGGACAATGAATCCACGCCTTCTTCTGCAGGCTGCTACCCAGCTTGCTGGCAGACAAGAGAATTTGACTCTTTAAGTTTACAGCAAAAAGAATGAGCGTCAGCAAAGGTGGCACCCTGTATTCCTTCTTGTTATAACTTACTTCCTAAGCCAGTAGTGATACAGAAATACAGTGAGTGGCTGCAACTTGCTTTCTCTCAGCTGACCACTGAAATTTGGCTACAGTGTGGTTCAGACAGCCTGGTTGCCTTTTCAGCTTATGAGACCCCTCAATGTAACTTGCTTTTCCGGTGTATTTACTGTTTTTGTGACAGTAAGTATTTATGCCTTATTTGCAAGTAAGTTATTTCCCCCTGAGTGCACCATTATATTTATTTAAATCAGAAAACGAAGGGGGCAGATCTCAGACACACAGGAAGAAGCTTCCTGCTACAAATATGGGCTGTAATCCTTTTGTCACTATTAAAATGAGCATGTGAGAGCTGGGCTTTCATACTCTGGACACAAAGCTAGCAGATGCTTTGATCCTAAAATACTAAGAGAGTACAGCTGTAGTTGTGTTACATGATGAAGTGTATGGCCTTTGACACTTGTCAGGGTGGGTGTTGGGGAAAACCCTGCTGCTGCAGAGGCAGCTGAGAGCATACAGCTGCATTTGTTAATCTGTTCCAGATCTGGTCTTCATTGCCTGTCTGCCATGCAGCAGTAGTATCCCTCCTCTCTTAGATCAGCCTTTATATTAGAGGAGAAATTATTTAAAAACAAAAACCCCAAAACCCATAGGTTCTAACCAAACCATAGGTAACATGTTCGAGGTGGATATGCCGGAGGTTCTGTTCAGTCTTTCAAAATCTGTGGTTAGGCACAAATCTCATAATAAAATAATCCTCTTGTTTTCTATGGAAGAGGAAAATTCCTGCTTCCCCCTGTGCAGTGGTTTCCCCCATGGCAAACCACCGCTGCTTGCTCTGACTTGGTGCACGACGTCAAAGCCAAAGAGCTCCTCTCCTGAACTTACTCTGCAGTTTCCTGCAGGGCAACAGTGGCTGACTGACACATCAGGGAAACAAAGCACAGGGTACCTGGATCACTTTGCTTTCAGGTCTGATGGAGAGGGAGCAGTTTTTCAAGTGCATTTTCAGTTTTACTCTTTGGGACTTGCACATTTAAAGGGTTCCTAATTTCTTCTTTCTGTGCCCTTAGGCACAGCTCAGAGATAAAGTGTGGCCAGTTTTCTCTGAGTTAGAATTATTTTTTCCATAGTTAAAGGAACCAAAAGTGCCATTTCAACAGCAGAAGGGCAAAAAAGAATTTTCTGCTTATTACAGAAAACTGCATAGAACTAAGTTGTTTTACTTCAGTGGTATCATTGCAGGTAAATTTATTTCTTATTCAAAAAAAGATTATAACTGGGTCTAACTGTGAGTATTACTTCAAATACAGTCACATTAAAATCAGTTGCACTCCAGGAAAGCGAAATGAATTCCTGACAGAAAGTAGTGGGGGAAGCAGCCAGAACATGTGAGTTTGGTTTTATTTTTTTCCTTTTTTCATTGTTAAGGTGTCAGTTATGTACTTCTTCAAACACTGCTCCTCATTTGGAGGTGAGGGGAGTCTTACTTCTTTAGCAGAGATGTTTTCCCAAAGCCCATTTGTGGCTCCTGGAGTTTGGCTTTGGATTCCCTCACACAATGGGGGCAGACTCCAAACTAGAGAGGATTTAACACTACGGGGGATAGCTTCTCTTAGACCTTTTTTTTTTTTGGTAATGTGCTGGTGGGCTTTAAGCTTTTGTTTTGTAACTATAAGAAGTTTGTCTAAAGTTGAGTAATTTTTCTTTCTGAATTCTTTTTTCTCCTTCAATTAAAAAAAATGCCCATGAATACTGACAAAACCAGCATTACGTTGCAGGGGTCAGCACTCACTAATACTGTGATCCAGTGAGTCACAGGCTTTGTCTAATTTTGAAACGTTTAAGACACTAACCTGCAAATAAGGTGACAATGCTTATCCCTCACAATGTAAATTAATTGCCACTAACATGGGAAAAATAGCAGTTTGGGTCGATGGCTATTTTGTGCTCTGAAGCACTCAACAGGGCAAGGACTTGGTGAGCTCCGGTCCATCAGAAGTGTGTATCATT